TGGTGCAGGGGCTTGCCAGGACAGACACCACGCGGCTGGTGCCCCTGTGGTAAAAACACAAGTTCTCTCACCATCAGTTTTCTCATTCAGAAAAGTCCAGTGGGGTCCATGCCAAGTCCACCTGCACGGGCTTAGATGTGGGGGCCTTTGCAGAGATTGCGGGTGATGCCTGGACACAGAGTGAAATCCCTTTTCTCTCAAGTTGCCTTTCACTACGTCAGGTGGCGATTTAGATGCAGAGCTCAATAAACATGCCTAGATCTGTGGGAGATTCCATAGAGTCAAGTTCATCTTTTATTTCCTTACCAAGACCAAGATGGAATCAGTGTAGCTGGCTCAGCTCATTCCAAACTGTATCTGCTGCCAGGCATCGGAAGTGGGCCACATATGTTGCAGCTGGCCCCAAGATCTAGTGAAGTTTCTATAGGGCCATCTTCATGGTATGAGCCCAGTGAGGATCATGGAAAATTGAAAGGAAGATGTCCCAGCTGGCCAGTATGGCATGATCCTGCTCTAGCAGAGGGGATAGCCAGTCCAGGGCTTTGCCTATTAAAGCTGACAAGCAGTCCCACCTTTGCCTGGTCCATCTGGTAGGTGTTGGGCTGTAGCAGGAAACAGAGCCTATACTGGTTTGCAAAACCTCCAAATTTGCTTCAGGTCCTGTCACAGGGCTTGGGTAAAGTTATTGTGGTTTTGGGTCCAGAAGGTGGCATGGGTTGTGTGGTCAGGGAAGCTGTACCCACTTGCAGTGATCTGTTCCTAGTTTTCTGCCCAAAGCTGGTCCATTGTGGCCTGTAAGATTTAGTTTTCCACCTGCAGGTGGGCAATCTGCTCCTAGTGTCTCAGTGCACCTTGGGGCACCTACAATACTGAGTCAGTTGGTTCCATACCCTTTTGGGGTAGGATGAACCTAGGAGACGACAGAAGCGGTCTGAGCAAACTGTGAGGCCTTATGGCCAAGGGGCAGACCGGAGCAGTGGTCATGTGCACACAGGTGGTCAGGTAGACAGATCAATTGGTATTAGAGGCAGTCCAAGGCAGTGGTTGGAGTTCTTAAGGGGGGCAAGGTCAGTGAGATAGGGAGGTGAAGTGGGTAAGCCTGCAAGGCAAGGTCAGGAGAAGCAACAAGATCTAGACCAGGGATTCCCAAACTTTTTGCTGGCATGATTCCATTTTATTTAACTGTTTCCTCCCGGGACCCGAGATAGCATGGAGGATGCTATTTCAAAGAGCAAAATGGTATCCTCTGTAGAGCATGACCTTTCACACACTGTACATGTGAAGTCATAATGCATGGAGGATGCCATGTTGCTCTACAAAATGTCATCCTCCACACAATGTCATCCTCTCACAAACCTTGGGAGGCAGGCCAGTCCTCGCTTACAGACAGCCCCCCAACCTGAAGCAAATACTCACCAGCAACCACACTCCACACCACAGAAACACTAACCCAGGAACCAATCCCTGTAGCAAACTTCATTGCCTACTCTGTCCCCATATCTACTCTAGCAACACCATCAGAGGACCCAACCACATCAGCCACACTATCAGAGACCCATTCACCTGCACGTCTACTAATGTTATATGTGTCATCATGTGCCAGGAATGCCCCTCTGGCATGTACATTGGCCAAACCGGACAGACCCTACGTAAAAGAATAAATGGAAATCGGACATCAGGAATGGTAACATACAAAAGCCAGTAGGAGAACACTTCAATCTTCCTGAACCGTCTATAACAGATTTAAACTTAGCTATACTTGAACAAAAAAACTTCAGAAACAGACTTCAAAGAGAAACAGCATAAGAACATAAGAATGGCCATACTGGGTCAGACCAAAGGTCCATCCAGCCCAGTATCCTGTCTACCGACAGTGGCCAATGCAGGTGCCCCAGAGGGAGTGAACCTAACAGGTAATGATCAAGTGATCTCTCTCCTGCCATCCATCTCCACTCTCTGACAAACAGAGGCTAGGTACACCATTCCTTACCCATCCTGGCTAATAGCCATTAATGGATTTAACCTCCATGAATTTATCCAGTTCTCTTTTAAACCCTGTTATAGTCCTAGCCTTCACAACCTCCTCAGGCAAGGAGTTCCACAGGTTGACTGTGCACTGAGTGAAGAAGAACTTCCTTTTATTTGTTTTAAACCTGCTACCTATTAATTTCATTTGGTGGCCCCTAGTTCTTATATTATGGGAACAAGTCAATAACTTTTCCTTATTCACTTTCTCCACACCACTCATGATTTTATATATCTCTATTATATCCCCCCTTAGTCTCCTCTTTTCCAAGCTGAAAAGTCCTAGCCTCTTTAATCTCTCCTCACCTGTTCCAAACCCCTAATAATTCTAGTTGCCCTTCTCTGAACCTTTTCTAATGCCAGTATATCTTTTTTGAGATGAGGAGACCACATCTGTATGCAGTATTCAAGATGTGGGAGTACCATGGATTTATATAAGGGCAATAAGATATTCTCCGTCTTATTCTCTATCCCTTTTTAAATGATTCCTAACATCCTGTTTGCTTTTTTGACTGCTGCTGCACACTGTGTGGACATCTTCTGAGAACTATCCACAATGACTTCAAGATCTTTTTCCTGCTTAGTTGTAGCTAAATTAGCCCCCATCATATTGTACGTATAGTTGGGGTTATTTTTTCCAATGTGCATTACTTTACATTTATCCACATTACATTTCATTTGCCATTTTGTTGCCCAATCACTTAGTTTTGTGAGATCTTTTTGAAGTTCTTCACAGTCTGCTTTGGTCTTAACTATCTTGAGCAGTTTGCAAACTTTGCCACCTCATGGTTTACCCCTTTCTCCAGATCATTTATGAATAAATTGAATAGGATTGGTCCTAGGACTGACCCTTGGGGAACACCACTAGTTACCCCCTCCATTCTGAAAATTTACCATTTAATCCTACCCTTTGTTCCCTGTCTTTTAACCAGTTCTCAATTCATGAAAGGATCTTCTCTATTATCCCATGACAACTTAATTTACGTAAGAGCCTTTGGTGAGGGACCTTGTCAAAGGCTTTCTGGAAATCTAAGTACACTATGTCCACTGGATCCCCCTTGTCCACATGTTTGCTGACCCCCTCAAAGAACTCTAACTCTAACTAAAATTCATTTGCAAATTTAACACCATTAATTTGGACTTGAATAGAGACTGGGAGTGGTTGGCTCATTACAAAAGTAGCTTTGCCTCTCCTGGAATTGACACCTCCTCATCTATTATTGGGAGTGGACTACATCCACCAGTGTGATATATGCCATCATGTGCCAGCAATGCCCCTCTGCCATGTACATTGATCAAACTGGACAGTCTCTACGTAAAAGAATAAATGGACACAAATCAGATGTCAAGAATTATAACATTCATAAACCAGTTGGAGAACACTTCAATCTCTCTGGTCACGCGATTACAGACGTGAAAGTTGCGATATTACAACAAAAAAATTCAAAACCAGACTCCAGCGAGAGACTGTTGAATTGGAATTCATTTGCAAATTGGATACAATTAACTTAGGCTTGTACAGAGACTGGGAGTGGCTAAGTTATTATGCAAGGTAACCTATTTCCCCTTGTTTTTTCCTCCCCCCCCCCCCCAGATGTTCTTGTTAAACCCTGGATTTGTGCTGGAAATGGCCCATCTTGATTATCATACACATTGTAAGGAGAGTGATCACTTTAGATAAGCTATTACCAACAGGAGAGTGGGTCTGTGTGGGGGGGCGGAGGGCGGGGGGGAGAAAACCTGGATTTATGCTGGAAATGGCCCAACTTGATTATCATACACATTGTAAGGAGAGTGATCACTTTAGATAAGCTATTACCAGCAGGAGAGTGGGGTGGAGGGAGAGAAAACATTTTGTAGTGGTAAACACCCATTTTTTCATGCTTTGTGTGTATAAAAAGATCTTCTATACTTTCCACAGTATGCATCCGATGAAGTGAGCTGTAGCTCACGAAAGCTTATGCTCAAATAAATTGGTTAGTCTCTAAGGTGCCACAAGTACTCCTTTTCTTTTTACATCCACCCTGATCAAATTGGCCCTGTCAACACTGGTTCTCCACTTGTGAGGTAACTCCCTTCCCTTCATGTGTCGTTATATAACACATCTGTAATTTTCACTCCATGCATCTGAAGAAGTGGTGTTTTACCCACGAAAGCTTATGCCCAAATAAATCTGTTAGTCTTTAAGGTGCCACCAGACTCCTTGTTATCCTCCACACAGCGTCACCTCGTATGTATGATGCATGCAAGGTCACAATGTGAAAAGGATGGTAGAGCAAAATGGTGTCCTCCATGCATCATGACCGCAATGCACCGTACATGCGAGGTCATGCTATATGGTGCAAAATAGCATCCTCTGCACACTGGGAGTCATTGCAACCCCATCTGCTGATGGCACAGCCCCCTTTGGGGGCACAACCCACAGTTTGGGAACCGCTGGTCTAGGCAGCAACCATCAGGCAACAGCCTGTTGCTCAGACAGTCACAGCTTCCTGTTCGGGTTAGATTCTTTATATAGGCCAGGTACCCAATGAGAATACTGTCTGTCCAGCCATGCAGGACCCTGGGGCACGATTCCTGTGGGGCTGTAGGCCTTTAGCACTAAGGCTGTTGGTCAGAAGCCATAGTTAAGCATGCTGCTATGGCAGGAAGGCTAGGGATGCTATCTAGGTACTTCATGGTCTGGGTTAAATAGCAGGCTCCTGACAGCAGTGTTGCAGCTGTGTCATTGTAATGCTTGCAGTGTAGACGTAGTCTGAGCCATCTACAGTACAGTACCCCCACTGCCTCAGAGGGTCGAGCACCACCTACTGATATGAGAATGTGCAATCTGACACCATTTGTGAGGCCACCTTTGGGAATAACAAGCATTCTGGGAACTGTAGTTCAGAAATCACCTTGGTAAATGCTCCATTTTCCTGTCTCCCTCTCCTCTCCTTTTCTCAAAATGCATCTCTCTTCAGCAGGTAGGGGAGAGGAGGTTGAAGAGGAGGATGTTTGACTGTGGATCTCCCATGAGAGGGCAGTAGTGTCCAAGGACAGAGCTCAAACAGGAGAATGGCAGAATTGCTAAATTGCCTTATTTACTCTATCTGTCAGTGAGTTTGGCAGGATGAGCAAGGTTACTGAAGTGTGCTTAAGGGGGAGGTCTTACTGGTCAGAAATGAGGGGTATCAGCTGAGCTGGAGTGTGTGTGTGAGGGGTGGACTTGAGGGGGCTGTAGGTCTGGACTGAGGTGCATCTGCAAATGTGTTGGGAAGGACTGGAATATCAGAAGACTGCTAGACTGGAGTATATTGGCACAGGTGTGTGTGCTGTGTCTTGATAATGATGTTTTATGTGTAGTTTATAGCAAACATATAGCATTTTGATATATAGTCAAATGATGTTTGCATGAAAACTTGGGTGAGGCAGATCAGTATATCGGTAATGCAAATGCATATAATTTGTATCTTTTTCAGAAGACTTTTGTATTGTGTTTCTACTTTTAGATAACCAACGAAAACGGTAATTATTTAGAATCATAGTTAATGTTGTTTTGTGATTAAATATGCATTTCTTTGCATCAGATATGAATAACATGTTATATTTATTATGTGGGCACTCCACTGTTCATTTCCTTGCTTTTAAGTGCTTAGGCTTTGTAAATGATGTGATGTTGCTTAGCAACCTTAACTGTTTTTTTACACACTTTCTTAGTTTTGGAATTTCCTAGGTTTTGTTTTGTTTTATTTTCTTCTCCTGTCATTCGTTTTCATTTTTTTCTTTTGTGTAGGTAAATGAAGATATGTTTGAGAAAAAAAGTAAATCCATACTATGGGATATATCACCAAATTACTGAATTAGCGGAGTGGGCTATGCTGGTCAAGGTAATAACAGCAGTCACTGAAATTATTGTGGAAAGAATTTGTTAGTGAAGTTTCGTGGTCAACAAGCAATACATCACCCCAATGAAGGTTCTGGAACACACTTGTCAATGGGAACACTCTACACACAAGCAATATATCACATCAGTATCTCTGATTTTGTAAATGAAAGGATTTGTCAATGAGGGGACAGTATGTACAAGAATACATTGCCTCAATATCTTTGCTTTAGTCATTGAAATAATTCCTCATTGGGAGGGGTATCCAAGACTATATTCTCCATCTGTTTTTTTCTTTTTGCTATCAGCCTCAATTATACAGATTCATTTCTAGTTTACATTTAATAGTAATATCATAAATAATTTATTATTTCTGCCCTTGAAAATTGCCTGTTGCACAAGCCAATATCAAATGTTTCTATCAGAATATTGTGGTGTAATGTTATTTTAGTTCCAGACTGAAGCATACAAAGAGATGGTAGACACTTCATAACATTTTAAAAAAGGAAGCATTTGTAAATTGCTTAATCTCAAAATGTATTCGCTCTGTTTAGCTGACATTTTCAGAACAAAATTTAATCTGAAAACTGGAAGGATGAAGAATGTTGTTTTTCTCACTCATAAGTGTGTATATCTGTCGGTGTGAGAGTGTCAATGGGGGAGTTGTCTCAAAATCAACCTTATCATAGGGCAGCCTTAATGATGGAGAGCTACTGCCTCCTTATAATATCATGCTATTTATTATTTTTATTTTTATTTTTTATTGATATTTTTTTCTCACACCTTAAGGGTTGGGCAGCAATGGAACTGATCTCCTGTAGAACAACATGACCAAAGAAGAGGAGAAGCTCTTCTCCTAATCCTCCTACAGTCTTTGGGATATACACAGGAGAGGTACTGACAAGGCCCCAACTGTTACGGGCTGAGCAACTTCTATGAGATACTGGATACCATCAGAGCTTGTGGTTTGGTGCTGAAGGCCAAAGACTATAAAAAATCCACTATATGATATTGTAATGGGCCACCATTAAGAGTTGTCAAGGTATTGAAAGGGGGGATAGAGGAGATAATTCGTTAAAGGGGTATTAAATTTATGAGCCAAATGGCCCAAGCCCCCTGGTCAAAGCATGCAGACTCTACGGTTGTGTGGAGCTACAGGGTTGCCTTAGAGATTACAAATACAGTGGCTAAGGGTTGGTTGTAAACAGAGCTGGAGTAAAGCAGGAGAAATGGGTTTGTGTGAACCTGAGGAAGCAGAGACAGAGAGGCAGCCTCTCCTGTTGGGCACCGAGAAGGCTGGCGGCTCTCTGGGGGATTTTCCAGGAAGGAAACTCCCTGTGTGCTCTGTGTTGCTACTTCTCCTCAGGCAAACAGGACTTTGTGTATGTTTCTGTAAATAAACAGATTCACCAAGGATTACCATCTCCTAGATTTCCCATCCGAATGTCGCCACTCCACAAGGCCTTGAATTTCAGCCTTCCACTCAGCCCAAGAGCCAACATTATTATTTCAGAAGTTGTCTGTGATCATATAATTAAAGACAGCATTGTAAATGGAGTTATATAAGGGGGTGCCCAGGAACTCTCACATTTCCTGATTTTTCAGTGCTTTTCTGGGCAAGTTTAGCATCCTCTTAGCATATGTTATTTTTATGTTTATTTTTTCTAGTTTCTCTAGGAAAAGGGAAAGAAACTAAATATTCCCAGATCTGGAACATATTGGCTAAGCTATTGGTTAGTCTCTAAGGTGCCACAAGTACTCCTTTTCTTTTTGCGAATACAGACTAACACGGCTGTTACTCTGATACCCCTGGAAAGTATTTTCGCATACATCCAAGTAAAGTGTGATCCCTGCTTTATTCAATCCATACCTGGCGAAAAAGGCACACACTCAATCTATGTGTACAACACGGGATACCTTCCCTTGGAGTTCTAGAAAATCATGTGCAGACAAGTGCTAGAAAATGATAGCATGTTAAATATCACCCCCATGACTAGAACACAGCTTTTGGTTCTATAACCAGTGCCTGCTCCTCAATACCACCTCTGGCTGAGTCATTCAGCATCTCTGTGGGTTATTTATCCACCTTGAAAAAAAATGTAGCTAATAATGCTTTTCACATACCAGTAGATTTCAAAGCTCTTCACAATGATGAGTTAGTGTCATTACTCCCACTTTACAGTAAGTCCAACTGTGGCCTTGTCTGCACTACAGCACTCAGCCATTTGTGCTTTAGTTGGTTGTTTGACACCCACACAAGCCACTTGTGTACATTTGCATCCACAGTAGGACTGTCTAACACCAATTCAAGTAGGGTGGCTGCATCCTTAGCCAGCATCCTTAGCCAGCGAACCTCCTTAGTTTGTGAGCTGAGAATTCCCTCTTTGTTCCCCATCATGTCCCCTCCAGTCATGCTGCCAATGGATTCCCCCTCCCAAAACTACACCCCTGGAAAGGCCCTCTCTAGCCCCACAACCCTTCAGCTCCTTGCCGTGCCTCCACATAGCAGTCTCCTCTCCTCTGGCCAAAAAATCAGCCTAACTTGGAGAAACTACCACTTCTCCATGAAGAAAAGGAGTACTTGTGGCACCTTAGAGACTAACCAATTTATCTGAGCATGAGCTTTCGTGAGCTACAGCTCACTTCATCAGATAAGCCACACAAAATTGCAAAGCGAGGGCTAATCATTTATGCGAATGCATCTGTATAGTTATCTTGTCACCAATGAATCCCACTACCATTTGTGTGCTTAACCACCTATTGTGTCTTGTCATAAACACAGATTGTGAGCTTTCTGGGACATAGACTTTGTTTTATTTGTTTGTATAATCCCTAGTGAAATGGGACTTTGATCCTTGATTGAGACCTCTAGGTGCTACCACAGTACAAATAATACATTACTTTTTAAAAATACTACTTAACAGAAAGTAAGGATTTCAAAGTCAAGCATTCAGAAGTTAGGATATGCCAGAATTAAGGTTGCATTCAATCCCCTTGTGTGTATACTCTATCATACAGTCTTTAATTACAAAATCACATGCTGTTTTCCACAGGACCCCTGTCTCATTCAGTGCATGGAATGGATGGTGTTCAGGGAATGAATCAGGGGTTTATAGTGAATGAAGCAGTTGTCTATAGGCTCCATGACTCATTTGTGGCAGAAGTTGGAATGCAATGGGAGCTGTGTGCTGTATATAGGAAGTGGTATAAAATGCTAAGTACTCTGAAAAATCAGGACCTTTTTTGTTTCAAGTTGGTCACCCAAAATTAGAGTTCAGGCATGAAAATGCATCAGTGTACTTTTGCCCTTACTCTCTCTGATCCTGAGTTCTTCATGTGTTGTGAGGATAAGTTCCTTATTGTTTGTGAAGCACTCAGATATTATGGTGACGAGCACCATAGAAATGCCCATGACATAATTAATAATTCTGTATTCAGTGCAGGGTTTGGTGTTGGGCAGTAAATGCGGCCTGGGGCCACACTTTGAATGATGCAGATAAAAAGAAATATTGACTTGTTACCCATTCAGTGTGCACCAAGGATCCTGTGGAAAAAATAGTTTGTGATCATATAATTAAAGACTGTATCATAATTTATACACACAAGGGGGCTGAATTAAGGCTACAGGCAAATTTAATTCTAGCATTTCTTAACTGTTGAGCTCTTGGCTTTGCAACCTTAATGTTCTTTTAACACATTTTTAAAAATGTAATAAAATACTAATAACAGGACTAGAATTCTTACGATGCAGCTCCAGAAATAAAGGCTCCTACAGGTGAGCTAAAGCAGCTGTTAGGTGCTGAATATAGGAGCACCCTTAACTTCAAAACTTAAACCAACCAACTGAGGGCATTGTAGTCTCTTGATCACTTGCACACTTTCTCTTACACATACATGCATGCACACACACACAATACCTTGTCCTGCTTCCAGTGTAGATAAGGACTGAAATCACCAAGTGGCACCAGTGTGAGCAGAATTAAACCTCTATATGTCAAACCAAAATTAATTAGCTACTTCATTAATCACAACTTTTGATCTCTAAATGTAGCTGGTGCATGTATTTTCAATGGCACTGAACTCTGTGGATAGGTTGAAGGGGCAGAAAGCTGCCATTTTTGAGCTAGAAGGACACAAAGAAACATTAGAGAAAATTCCAGTTTTTTAAAATTCAGGACAATTTTTTAATTACCTGTAATTTAAAAATCTTTTGTTCAGACTTTACAGAAACTTCTTTTTCTTTGCAATCAGAATAAATTTGGAATTGTTTGAGGCCTATGAAATGCTTCAAGCCAAAATGATAAGATTATACAGAGGCTTAAATAAGGCCTATAATAGGTTTATTATGGATGTCACAAATGTGTTTTCATGCCTGTTCACTTTGTGGGTTTATAATTTTGGGTTAGTATCTCACATTTTCTAGGGCATTCAGCTATTTGCCCCTGTTGCCTGTTCGGCATTATTATTACATTCTATGTGTGTCTATCTGTCTCTCTTGCTCTCCATCCCTCTTACTCCCCCTCATTCTCAGGTGGAAAGACTGAGATTGGGTTACACTCTCATCCATTCTTGCAGGGCTCAGGGCCCTCTCTTGGCCTCCACGCTAGACTCTCCCTTTGTGCCGTTGCTTGGTAACTGGGAAAGGGGGATGGGACAGGCTACAGGAGGGAAAGATGGGTTGTGGGGGGGAGGGAGTTGTGTGAGCAATTGAAGTGTGTGCAGCTTGTGTAATCCTTCAGGCAGCCTCTGCATGCTGATTAGATCCAGGCCGGTGAAAGCAAAGGCCAGGCATGGAGCCTTGGCCAGCTCGCACAGACACAGGACTAAGGTATTTGGAAAGGATCCCTACCCAAGGTGCACTGTGGATGTTTCAGGGAGTGGTATGAGAGGCTCAATAAGGGACACCCTCCCACCCGAATCAGTACTGATCCCAATACATAGGGCCCTACCAAATTCACGGCCATGAAAAATGCATCACGGACCATGAAATCTGGTCTCCCCCTGAGAAATCTGGTCTTTTGTGTGCTTTTACCCTGTACTATACAGATTTCATGGGGGGAGACCAGCATTTCTCAAATTGGGGATCCTGACCCAAAAGGGAGTTGCAGGGGGGTCACCAGGTTATTTTAGGGGGCTCGCAGTATTGCCACCCTTACTTCTGCACTGACTTCAGAGCTGGGAGGCCAGAGAGTGGCGGCTGTTGACTGAGCACCCCGCTCCGAAGGCAGTACCCCACTACCACCACCAGCACAGAATTAAGGGTAGCAATATCATATTATGCCACCCTTGCTTCTGTGCTACTGCTGAAAATGGCTCTGCCGTCAGAGCTGGGCTTCTAGCCAGCAGCCACCGCTCTCCAGCTGCCCAGATCTGAAGGCAGCAGCGCAGAAGTAAGGGTAGCAGTACTGCAACCCCTTCTACAATGACCTTGCGACCCCCCCACAACTCCTTTTTGGGTCAGGATCCCTACAATTACAACACTGTGAAATTTCAGATTTAAATAGCTGAAATCATGAAATTTATGATTTTTAAATCCTATGACCATGAAATTGACCAAAATGGACCCTGAATTCAGTAGGGCCCTACCAATACATCAGCATGGTGCTGGATGATGCTATGCTGAAGGGGGTGGTGTCCGTAAATCAGTAGGGGGTTGCTTTCCTTTGCCTCAGGAAGGACAGAAATGGCTTACCAATACACAGGAGGTGGTATGCTACAGGGAGCAATGTGGGTGATTCAACATGGGGTATTGTGCCCTCAGTAATGACTCCTGGGCCATTGCCTTGTACGGATACAGGCTGGAATGCAGAGAGTGGTGTTTAAAAAAAGATATAAAACGGAAGCCCTAACCTTGGCTCTTGGGGTCCTAAAGATCCCCTGTCACTTTTCTTAAT